AAAACGTTGCAGTGCCATGGTTCGAGTCCCGATGAGGGTGTTTTTCAGACATAGGTGAGGTCGAAACTGCAGTCAACTTCAACTGGGGGGAGAATAATTTGTTTGGGAAAGCGAGGCTATGTGAAATTTAATGGAAACGTCAGCCCTACTTATATCATTGTGGAAAATTCAGCTACCAGTCCCCTTATCACTTTAAGTGAAATAGAATGAATACATCTCATGAGCAGGTTAGAAGTTGTGCTAGTGAAGGAGTCGACACGAGGATATGGGAGTGGTGTATGCTGATGCGAGATAGCACAACTGTTTAACAGACAATTAGTAAAATGGTGAGCACTTCGCATGTCTCTTTGACGTATTGTTGTGTTGTGGTAAGAATGACAAAACGCAGTGATGATGCCAAACCACATGGGCAGTTGTCAGGACTCTGGATAAGGTGTATTCATCGAAGTCGCCTTGATAACACGACCCAGTCACGAGAACAAGTCAAACCACTTGCATCCAACTAAAGAGGAGTGCAACCCAAATGGTAGCGCCACTATGCCTGTCAGCATATCTTTAATAGAAGACGGAAACTCTGAAAAATGCCATCTTTCCAGACTCTTCTATTTTGTATCGTTTGACATCAACTTTCCCCATCGCCCCAACCACGAAGTTGTTGTATTAACCTGTATTCGATTAAGCTTTTTGTTTCTTTTTCAGGTGCCGACCGTTCTGGAAAACGCCAACGACCCACGCCAGCCTCCAATACAGATTCTTCTCCAGCCAGCCTTGAGCCTGCCTCCTTCGGCAAAGCACAAGCGGCCGGTCAAGAAAGCCGATTTCACACCCTCGGATCCGATGCGCTTTCGGCACCGTCAGCGCTTCCCCTCCACCTCACCGGCTCAGCCTCGTCCGGCTCGGCCAGACCCATGTCGTCCGCAACAAATCTTCATCTTTCCTCATCTCTCTCGTCAGCCTTGTCGTCATTATCCTCGTCTTCGTCGTCTTCGTCGTCATCATCCTCCTCTTCTTCGTCGTCGTCGTCTTCGTCATTCTCCTCCTCGTCCTCGTCTGCTTCGCTGCCCTGTTCCAGAGCTCCGGCTACGCATGGCATCCATCGAG